AAAAGACTTCCCTTCTAACTCACTTCCCCAGTGCAGTAAATGGCAAACTCAATTCTTACAGTTCCTTGGCCCAAACACATTAGAACTGTCTATGACTCTTCCCCACTCTCATCCATCAGCGAATTCTGTCAACTCCAGCTTCAGAATATATCCAAAATTGAACATTTCTCAGTGATGACTCGGGTCCAAGTCACAATCCTCTCGCTCCTGGGTTATTGCAGTAACCCCTCACGGGTCTCTGCTTCCATCCTGTCCTCCCAAATGCTATACTCTCCATATGGCAGAACAATCCTTTTGGTCATGAGATTTTTCTTTTCAAAACTCTCCAGTAATTTCACATCAAACTCAAAGCAAACATCACAGACCTTCAAGTTCCTGTGTGATCTGGCACCCTGTTCCCTCCCTGACCTTACTTCGTCTCCTCTCCTCCTCCCTCGCCTTGCTCCAGGCACCCTAGCCTGCCTCAGGCACGCTCCCACCTAAGGGCCCATCTGTTCGCTGTTTCCTCAGATGGAGTATTTTCCACAGGTTTTAACATGGCTCACTCCTCACCTTCTTCAGATCTCTATTCAAATAAGATCTTCTCATTAAGGTCTCCCCTGACCATGCTATCCAAAACTGCAACCCACCTCTTCCCCCAACATTTCTTAACTCCCTTACTTTGTTCTCCCTGGTACTTATGAAGTCTATTACCTTATTTATTGTGTTCATCTTCTGCCTGTCCCACTAGAATGCAGCCCAATGGCCGGAATTTGGCTCTGTATTCCCACCCATCACAACAGAATGCTCAAAGCCAAACTGTTAGGTCCAAAGCATCACTTAAAACTATTTATCCAGCATATTACATATTTGGTGGAGGTATAAACATATACACATATACCGTATTTAAGTAAGGTAGTGTGTACATTTATATGCACACTAATATTCTGAGTAGGAAAAAAAAACACTAGAAAGAAGTAGAACAATATAGTAATAGTAGATCATTATGAGTACCTGTCAAAGTAGTTGTCTGAGTAGTGGGAAATAATTCAAGGCACTTTTGATTATGTTTTATTACTCTTCAGTATGTTTTAAATTTTTAGATTCAAATTTAGAAATGATTGTCTTTGAATCCATAAGAGAATCAATATAGCTTTTCCAAAATGCATAACTTAATGGGGAAATCAAGATAGAATGACCATACTTTAAAAATCGTAAAAGCAGTATCAGAAATTTATATATAAATTATTATACCTTAACCTCAGTGATTCATGGTAATTTTTGTTTAAAGAAAGAGAATTGCTAAATGTTCTGAAGATAAACAGAACACCAAATAATTTGTATTCCCCCAATTTGGAACCCTTGAACTTTTAATTACGTTTTTGCTGTATTTGAAAAGACTAATGACTAACCTCCTCTGCTAAAACGAGAATTTTAAGTAAATCAATAACAAGGAGGTAAGGTTATCTACTGAGTTCTTTGGGGGGCGGGGGAATCCTATAGATTATCTTGATTGCAAAAATCCTTAAGAGCAAATGAAAAGCAAGGCAGCAAACTGTATATTTAGTACAGATTCTTGCCTGTAGCGACAGTATAGGGTTATCCAAGATGACAGGGAAATCTGTCTGCAAAAGTCCTCTCATGTCAGGCATGGTCATGGAATCTGTCTGGGTTATGAGGTGAGAGTCAGCCTTAAGCAACACTGGCAAGCCAATAAACTTGTCTCCTGTGCTGTATGTGCCACACTCTTGCACAAACCTATCCTTTGGGTCCCCACTTCCACTCTATGCCTGCCTGAATGGGCCCCACGTCCTCTACCCGAACACCTTCTCGCTCCAGCTGCCAGGACTGACCCATGGCAAATCACGCTGCCTTCCGTGCTGGAGTCATGTGACTTTTTCTTCTCTCCCTCTTGCCTGTCCCCAGTCTCCAACCAATCCAGAGAACTACTTTGCCCTTTAAAAAAATAACTTAATGCCTGATGGGCACGACAATCGGTTATAAGTTTTCTTTCTTTCAGGCAGCAGACTCAGATTAACAAGGCCCTTCCGGAGGTCATGAGGAAGACAAAAGCCTGGCTGTGACAGAGAGGACTGCAGACACTGTTGCTCCACCAGCGGTGGAAAGACTCTGGAGCAGGCAAGCCTTTGGAGTCGCACCGGACCAGCAGCCACCCATTCTGGGAGTGCCGAGCCTTGAATGAAGGAGTAAGCACTGGCAAGCATTTTTGCAGCATTTTGTTGGAGTCAGTGGGAGGAATAAAAAGGGAAAAAGAAAAGAGAGACAATAAATAGGGCAGAAGCTTAGGATACGAGTTCATGGAAATGCCCAACAGACCCCACGGAAACAGAAAGGCACATAGTCAAGCTGTAAAGTGTAAAGCTGAAGGGCCATCTCCCTTTCTGTGACCCACGTCTTCAATAAAGTCAGCGACTCGCACAAACGCCCGTGTGCTCGATGTTCCTCGTTGGGAGAAACTAGAGGAGCAAAAGGATCAGAATTCTTCTTGAAATGACTAAATGAGCCATTTCCTGAATTTCTTCAGCAAAATCAGAGTTGTTGAGACAAAAAAAAAAAAAAGATCAGGAAAATGCGAGCCACACTTCTCCCCGGGAGGCCTGTGGGATGCTCACTCTCTCAGACTTCCATCACCATTGGGATAGGGTTCTGACCAATTTCATCCGATTCTCAAAGATCAAGCTCTCTCAAATGACATATGAGCCAGGGAAGCTAATTTGAAATAAAAGGGCCATCAGTGCCATCCCAGAACATGGCCAAGATAAAGGGTTCTCAGTGGATCAGCTATTTCCCGTGGAAATTACTGAACAAAAGCTATTAAGTCTTGCTGTCATTTTACTTAGGTTTTCATGGCCTAGAAATTCTACCAAGATGTATCTGAGCAAAAGTCTCCCAGAAATGGTGAATCCAGGGCAAGCTCTGATTAGTGCTTGTTGTCAAGAATACCTTAAGTAATTTGAATGTACAACAGGTCCTTATGTGGCATCTTCATGTTCATAACAGAAGACGATCATACACCTTGACTGCTTGCTGGCTGCTTCAAGCTAACGGCATCCGTGGGCAGCACACCAATATTTTCAGCTCCTTCCTGGAGAGCTGCCTTTCCTCTCTCTCTCATCTCCCCTCAACCCAAATAAAATTTCCTATTTTCCCAAATCCCCCAATCCAAATGTCACCCCTTAATTCACCAGCTATTTACTTGCAACATAAGTAATAGCATTTACATGTCTCTCCCCTCCTTCTCCAAAATGCCTTGTTACGTCAAGTATATGACTTTTTATATTTGGCACTGAGCTCGGTGTTTAAGAGATGTGCAATAATATATCTGTTGAAAAAAAAGAAAAGTCAATCCACCTTCCAGGGTGTTGCCCTCCCCTTGAATTCTTTCCCCAGTTTCATTCATTTTTAGGTCTTTGACTCAACTGTCACTTTTTATGGACCCTTTTCCTTACCTTCTCTAAAGTAGGCCTCTGCCCCAATTACCGTCTTAGGCATCACCTCATTGATTTTCTGCAGAGCAATGATCATAATCTGCTATTATCTTATTTCTTTCTGTACTTCTTCATCAATAGCTATCTTACAAGTTATCTGTGAGTGGGAGTCTCCTGTGCGCTGTTCACAGCTTCTTCCTCAATACCTGGAGCAGAGGGAGCACTCAGATTGTTGTTGAGAGGCTGACTCCGGGTGTGGGTTGACAGCACAGTTCTGTGTAGGAGGTCGCCACCCCACCACACAAACTAAGAAATACCCGGTAGGCGGGCGGCAGTTTCTGCATGGGAATGTTTTTGCGTATGCACAAGGTTTGCACAAGGTTTGCACTTACTTGTTAGGCCCGTGAGGTGTGGCATTTGACACGGCAGCGTAAATCCCACTGGCCCCTCCGTGCGTGCGGGTGTCTGTGCTCGGTGCACCAGGCAAGCCCATGGGCAGAGGTCTGCATTCCTGTCAGAGCTTCTCACCCACCAAACATGGCACGCAGCTGCCAAAGAATGCTGACGGCTTTCCTTCTGCACACATCTAGGTCTTTGTGGCCTTTGGTTTGTTTTGTTCTGATACATCCAACCTTTTTCTTTTCCCCATTTTTCTTTATCTGGAGAGGATTTGACTGTTGTACTGAAAATGTTCATGTCTTCTTTCCCCCTAGCACAAAAAACATAGATTTTCAAAATTTTTGTTGAATGTATTGGGGTGACATTGGTTAATAAAATTATATAGGCTTCAAGTGTACAATTCTAGAATACATTATTTGTATATTATGTTATGTTCACCAGACAAAGTCAAGGGTCCTTCCATTGCCATTTATCCCCAAGTCTTAAAGTTTATTTCATCTTGCTCCAAACTTTACAAAAATAGGGATGTTTGTAGGATGGAAACTTATATTCATGTTAGGATTGCTTACCACTGTAAGTATTTAAGTAAATTTGCCTCTTAAGCTCTGCACGTGCACACAACAGCCTTTGAATATCTTTTTGGAAACTCCAATTTATCTTGCTCTAAATGCTTTGATATTTATAATCATGGCCAATCTTCTTTTAATGACATAACTAAAATTCTGGATAACATCATCAGGGAAAAACCGGCATTTCTCACATTCTCTTTAGTAAAAAGTTATGGCTTTGGAACATATGTTTATTTGCCTTAAGAGCATAACAGTTCTTGATAAAGAGTAATTTTATTCCATGAAAATATCAATTTTATGTATAATTGTTGGATAGTCCATTTCAATTTTCTGTCAAAATCTAACGAGTAAAAAATATTTTATTGAAGCCAAACAATATTTTCTTGATTTTATTTTACTTTTTGTGTACAAATGTCACAAAATTAGTCAGCCAGGAGAAAAAAAATTGAGAGTATGTTTTAAATAAACCATCATTTGCTTGGAAGTAAAAGCACATTATTAGTCAGGGGGAGGGGTGCAAAACCATGTAGTATAATATAAGTTTTAATGACAACTTTTTCCAATAAACATTGAACATCAAGCAGATTTTTCTTTAAGTTTTTTTCAGGGGAGAGGGCACACACAGTCCGCCACTACCACAAATCACGCAGCTGAGCCGCCCACGTTTGGGGAAATCGCAGGGGTCAGCACCACCGGAGCGCAGTGCGTGAGCCTCGCCCCGGGGAAACCTCCTTCGTGATCTCGGTGTCTCCCCCACCAGGTAGTATGTCCAGGAGACATGTCTGTCAATCAGATTCAGTATTTTTATCAAAGCCAATTCATTAATCTACTCAGTAGGAGAGAAACCGTCAGTGATCAAATCTCTCAACCACTCTTCTCTCTGTATCTTATCCTTCCCAATAAAGCAAAGGCCTCTCAACCTGGCGTCCAGGGTTCCAATGGGGCAGCCCTTGATCCTCTCCTACTGCTATTCCCCACAGTTTGCTGAGCGCGCTGGACTGCTCTCCGTTTTCAGGTCATCGGCGTGAGCATTCACGCTTCTGTGCTTTTCTGAGTGGGGTTTCTTCTTTATCCTTCCCAATTATCCAACCTGGATAAACGGTTCACTCCTCTGTGTTCCTATACAGTTTGATATATCTAGTCATTATTTTAATTGTTCAAACATCTGTCTCTCCATCTTGCCCCCTCCCCAACGCCTCCAGAGGAGTCAAGTTTTCTTACTTTGTAGTCCCAGTAGACAGCCCAGTGCTAGCAAACTTTAGCCTACATAAGCACTCAAAGGTTGTCTAAACTTTCATAATTGTTTAAATCTGCATGTATGTATTTCTGCATTGGTCTGAATATTTCAACTATTACCAGAAAAAAAGAAAAAATTACATCTAATGAAAATACTGTCGAGAAAATCCTTATTTTTAAAAGTCTTTATTGACTAGTTTTTAAACCCTTTAAAAAATTCTTATTGATTAACTGTCATGTCACATTATCCAGATGAGTTGTTCAATTCAATACCTATATCTTCCACTTAAAAAAGTGGAGAAATTTTGTGCATTGCTTCAGGAACTAGGAGAAAATATCAAGATTGCTTACATTAATTCTTACTAAATTAATAACTAATATTGTGCGATTAAGTCCCTGAACCAAGAGTACACTGGGAAATCAAGTGAAGAAGAGAATGTTCCTGAAAACATTACAAAGAGGATAAAGTTACACCAAGAAATGATGAGTCTATTATTAGCAATCTGTGATTTATATCAACACAAAATAAAAGATCAGATTAGCTGTCTCTGTCAATCTCCTAACATATTAGCTTTCTACCGTTGTTCAAAATGAGTTTTTTTGTCTCTCCGGTACAAATGAAAAACTGCATAAAATCCAGCTCTTTTTGCTGTAGTCAGCTCTATGGATATATATGGAAGTGATGTTTATGGCCATACCTTCATTTCTTATTTCATTGAATTACAGTGACGCTGATGAAAACACTGCACCTCAGGGTTTTGCAGTCATGGGGCCAGTGAGGTTCTCTGAGGCCTTGCCAGCAGACTGTCTTTGTAGCCAGTGCAATTATAATGCAAGGTCACTCCAACTGGGGCTGCCATTGCTATGGATTGCCAACATGATCATCACATTCACCGAATACATAAAATATCAGAACTCTTATTTTGTGTTCAACGAAATGTGCGCCAAAATTTATTTTTCTACATGTCTGTTTAAAGAATAAGTTGCATGACTCCACCAACCCTGACAACTCTCTTGTCGTGATATTGTGTACATCCTTAAACTAAAGGCAATCTTTTAAAATAAGGATTTCGTTTATTTATTTTTAGAGAGAGGGGAAGGGGAGGACAAAAAGAAGAGAGAAACATCGATCCATTGCCCTCCTATGCACTCAGTCTGGGGGACCAAACCCTCAGGCCAGGCGTGTGCTCTGACCAGGAATCAAACTGGCAACCATTTGCTTTGTGGGATGATGCCCAACCAACTGAGCCACACCAGTCAGGGCTAAAGCCAACCTTTAAAAGTCAAACAAACACTCCAGTGGAATAATTTAAGGGAGAATTAGAAGAAGGGTAGAAAATAAGACCTGAAGTTTTGAATGTGGAAAAAATTCTGTCTCAGAAATCTTACTAAGTCATTATCACTTAAAGAGAAAATACAACTTCAAAGCATTGTTAAATGCTCCAAAGGAATAAGCTATCATTTTTTGTTTTTCCAACATCTAGAAAGAGACAGGAATTCTGTAAGGGATGGCAGAAAACTAACGTGTGTTCGTGCTTTCCTTAAAAAATTTACTCATCAAAATTGAAACTTTGTTCAATCCCTTAAGACATTTCACATCGTGTATTAAAAGATAAGATTTTCAAGTTATTCAAGGAATAAATCAGCTAATACATTTCAATTCACCTATTGCAAAATAAGAAAAGCATATTTCCATAACGGGAATCACATTTTATTTACTCTATACTAGCAAAGATGGCTTTGATTTTCAGAACATTGTAGCATTCAATAATTTGTTTTTCCCAACCTTCATTTCAGATCAGCTTTTACAGAAAACAACATTTGAGAAGAATGAGAAAGAAATAAGGCGTGAAAGAATAAAGTAACAATTTTAACTGCTTATGTACAGTAGTTCTTAAATGAAGCTCTCAAGTAAATGAAAAACAACATAAGAAAAGGATCCACTTTAGAGAGAGATCATAATGATAAGCAAACTGCTACCAACTTGGATTCTGCTCATTCCAGTTTCAAGACTATAATCTTATGGCCTTTCTCAGAGGCAGCATCCAGCATGTGATGGTTGTCGCATGCTATTTGCATGCACATTAATGTGTGAAGAGATCCAAGGGACGTCTCAAAGTAAACAGCGGAGAGATAGAATGCATTAATGCCTGACAGGAACTTTATGCTGTTAGGGAACCAACACAAAATCCTTAACCAAATCAGGAATTAACGTTGTATATGCACAAAATCATACAGACACCTGCCTCTATGTAGCTGCTCCAACACACATGTGTACATGCACACACATAAAATACGGCCCTTCTTTTTAAAAATAGTTTAATATTTGAAAGATTCTCAAGATGAATGTACCACCGTACTAGCTTCCTGTTCTCTAGAGACCAGACAATATGGCAGCTCAGAATGTGGATTCTGAGGCCAGACTACTCGGGTTCAAACCCTGCCACTTCCATGAAAGGTGTATGAACTTGGGAAACTTACATAACTTCTCCACTTCTCAGTATTCTCAGATGTAAAACGAGGATAAGGTCTACTCCATTTGGTTGTTGAGAAGTAGCACTAGAAATATGAAAAGAAAGCACATAAATACTAAAACATGTAATAAAAGGAACCCCTTTAGTTCTTGCTTTTTAAAATTGGGGCTTTTTGTTGATTCCCCTCCCCCAGTTTTATTGATATATAATTGACATACGGCAATTATACGTGCATATGGCAAAATGTAAATCATATTTTCTTTATCCATCTCATAATGGACACTTAGGTTGTTTCCATATCTTGACCAATGTTAATAATGCAGCTGTGACCATAGAATTGAAGATATGTCTTCAACATAGTGTGTTCATTTTCCTACATATTCCTGAAAGTGAAATTGCTAGATCATATAGTAGCTCTACTTTTAATTTTTTGAGAAATCTCCAAACTGTTTTCCATAGTGGCTGTACCAATTTACATTCCCACCAAGAGTGCACTAAGTTTCTCTGTTCTCCACAACCTCAGCAGCATCTGTCATCTCTAGTCTTTTCCATGACAGCCATTCTAACAGGTATGAGGTGATAGCTCAGTGTAGTTTTGATTGACATTTCCCCAACGACTAGTGATGTGGAGTAGCTTTTGTCCTGTAGGGCTACCATACATCTACTTTGAAAAAAAATGTCTACTCGCATCCTTTGCCTATTTCTTAATTGCATTACTTCTTTCTCTCTTATTGATTGTATGAATATTTTACATAATTTAGATACTAACTCTTTATCAGCCATATGGTTTGCAATTATTTTTTCCATTCCATAGGTTGTCCTTACATTGTGTTAATCATTTCTTCTACTGTGCAGAAGCTTTTTAGTTTCATGTAGTTCTACTAATTGATTTTTGTTTTGTTGCTTTTGGTTTAGGTCTCACAACCAAAACTTCATTGCCAAGACCCACATCAAGGAGCTTGTTTTCTATGTTTTTTTCTAGGAGTCTTATGGTTTCCAGTTTTATATTTAAGTCTTTAATCTATTTCAAATTAATTTTTTTGAGTGGTAAAAGATAGGGGTGTAGTTTCATTCTTTTACATGTGAATATCCAATTTTCCCAGCACCATCTATTAAAAGACTGTCTTTTCTTTATTGAGTATGCTTGGTTCCTTTGACAAATAGTAATTTTTCATATATGCATGAGTTCACCTCTGGGCTCTCAATTCCACTCTGTTGGTCCACATGCCCATTTTTATGCCAGTACCATACTGTTTTGATTAGTATCGCTTTGTAATACAACTTGAAATCAGGCATTGTGATGCCTCCCACTTTGTTCTTCTATCTCAGGATTGATTCGCCTATTTGAAGTCTTTTGTTGGTCCATATACATTTTAGGATTTCTTTGTTCTATTTTTGTGAAAACTGCCGTTGAAATGTTGACAGGGATTGCACTGACTCCATAGGTGGCTTTGGGCAGTAGTCATGTTTTAACAATATTACTTTTTCTAATCCATAAGCACAGTATATATTTCTATTTATTTGTATTCTCTTTGATTCTTTATCAATTTCTTGTAGTTTTCTATGTAGATGTCTTTAACCTACTTGGTTAAATTTATTTCTAAGTATTTTATTATCTTCTATGCTATTGTTAATGGGGTTGTTTTATTTATTTCTTTTTCAGATACTTGCTAGAGTACAGAAACACCACTGATCTTTGTATATTAATTTTGTATATTGGAAATTTATTGAATGCATTGATTAGATCTAACAGGTCTTTTTGGTGGAGCTTTCAGAATTTTCTATATCTGCACATAGAGGCAATTTAATTCCAGTGTATTTTATTCTTCTTTTTTAATTCCAGTGTATTTTATTCTTCTTTCTTGCTTGACTGCTTTGGCTAGGACTTCCAGTACTATGCTAACTAGGGGTAATGAGGGTGAGCACATTTGTCTTGTTTTTTATCTTTAAAAGAAGTTTTTAATCTTTCACCATTGAGTATAAGGTTAGCTGTGAGTTTGTCCTGTATAACCTTTATTATGTTAAAGTACACTCCTTCCATACCTAATTTCTTAAGA